AGAGTCCCTTGGACTGCAAGGCAATCAAACTGGTCAGTCCTTGAGATAAATCCTGACTGCTCCTTAGAAGGCCAGATTCTGAAGATGAAACTCAAATACTTTGGCCACCTAATGAGAAGGAAGGGCTCATTGGAGAAGAGCCTAATGCTGGGAAAGATTGAAGGCAAAAGAAGAAAGGGATGACTAGAGAATGAGGTGGCTGGATGGAGTCACCAAAGCAGAAGGTGTGAGTTTAAATAGACTCCAGAGGATGGTAGAGGACAGAAAGGCCTGGAGGAACATTGTCCATGGGGTCGTGATGGCTCAGACACGACTTCGCAACTAACAACAACAACATTCATTAGAGTGGGCCCTTCCTAAGTTTCTTTCTCTGATTGCTAAGTGATGGGCGTTCCTGCTTCTATTTGACTGATTATTTCCTAAACAACCTCACTTTCCCTCTTCCCTCAAAGTCGTTCATGTATACTATTACACCGACAGAATAAATATGGTTTTAACATTTCACCTGACAATTCAAATGTTCAATATTGCCCTGAATAAAAGTTGAATGAAAGCTGATACATATATATCCAGGATATAATTCTATGTTTCAAGTGAGAACAATTTTATGTTGATTTTCAAAGACATGAGTAAAAAAGAAGAAAAATACAAAAGTGGTTAGTATATTTTCTGCAAATATTAAGACAGGTGAATAAAAATTAGCATTTATGTCTAAGTGTGAAGCCCATTTCCAACCCATCTCGCTTTCTGAAGAAGTGTGTAATTTTAATATAACAATTCTTATTTGAATACAGCTGATAAACAGCCTCTAGGAACACACAACAGAAGAATATGGATGTTCAAACATCTCTTCTCATGAAGGGGCAGCATTTTACGCTTTTCTATAGTAATGCAACAACAGTACTCTTAAGATCTCAACATACTTCTCTCAAAAAGACATGTTCCTTTGGGATTCATAGTTATAATAGGAAAACAGAATGATGCTTGTTCAGCTTCCAAAAAGCTATTGAATGTGCAGCCTCATTCTCTATTAATATTATACAATGAGAAAAATTTAAAATAAAACTGTAAGAACCAACTATAACCTATTGTAAAAAGGAAATAATTTCTACATCTTTGGGGATTATTTACATCATTGGGAGCATTTAGTTAATGTAACCACTAGATTCTCAGACTGCTAATTGATTTTTCAGGACCTTTCCTAATCATATATCAAGTTGTTCAGATAATCTGACCTTTCTTAATCATATATAAACCTATTCAGATAATCGTCTCTTCCTGCTCCCCCAAAATGCTCAAGCTTCCAGTACAACAATTTCAATTATGGTATTTAACTACTGCAATATACATACATTTTTAATATGTAGTTATCACAAAGAAAACACATGCCTTGTAATCCAAGCGTCCAACTCACCATCCCATTTTTCTTGTGATAATAGCTGAGTACTGGGAAGCGTCCACCATGGCGAAAAGTGGCAACCTTGCATAAAGATTCATCATCAATTGATTTAGGGACAGTGACAACAGGTGGGTAAGAAGGGCAGACTGAGAAATCTTTGTTGATGTAACTCAACCGCCATTCATTTGTCTAGGAAAGAATACTATGCATGTAAGAATCCATCAAGCTTAATTTGATCTACTTTCTCTCATCATAAATTAATTTGGCTTTGGAATCACTTTGCAACTTTACAAAATAAATATTTACATGAACATTTATTCACATTTTGCCTAAAATTACCTTTGTATATTTAATTTAACCTATTCAAAGTCTTGAACATATCTTGAATTAAGAACTACATGATAAATACAGAAAGCTGAGAATATTTATTAATTTGATTTTTATGTTGCCCAACTCTAACCAACCTTTAGCTACATTGACAGCCAACCTAATCATTGCAATCCTAGTGTGGGAACAATGAGGGGAACCTAAGTGTTCATGGAGACTGGGAGTTATATGTATCTGGGGGCAAGTATGTTATTCCAGAGGGAAGGGGCTGCAACAGAGAAAACATGCTTCCTCGGTTCCACAAGATGGCAGCATTTTATAGAAGGGACTTGGAGGGCCTCCACTCTACCCAAATGTACTAATGGGGCAAAAACAACTGGATGGGGATTGTCTCTCAGATTACTAGGCCCTGTGCCATGCACGGCTGTATAGGAGATGTCTAGCACCTTAAGTTACACCTGGAAGCTGACTGGCCACCAATGCAACACCTGACCTATGTTTAAAGCCATCCAAAACTTCCACCATCCCCTTTTCCCAAACAGTGGTTTCATTCCCTTTTCATTCTAAACCGGGGTAATAAAATACAATTGTCATGTTCACATTAAGGACGATGGCCAACCCATTAATCTTATTTTGGCACAACATGATGGCCTGGTGCCCAGGACATTTAATGTGAGGTACATGCCATAGCAGCAATGCAAACCTAGAGGCCACAGCTACTATCTGTAATGCTATTACAGCCATTTAAAATGACGGATAAAAGAGAGATTCTCATTCCATAGCAAATGTCCCTCAATGGTATGATCCAGTTGGAATTACTCAAGCCCCTTCCCTTCTCCCCACCAAGTTAATATAGTTTTATTTATTTTCTTTTAGAAAAAACAAGTACAAAATTGTATACATTTGAGTACAGTGGTATTATACAATAATAACTAAAGTTTATTAACACTTTGATGATATAGAAAACCTAAGCTTTTAAGGATTAAAAGAAGTTATGTCAATATTATCTATAATTTTTGAAATATTAATGCCGATAAGCATGTAGTTGCTTAAATGTTACATCAGCACCTGACTGTAGCATTGATAAACAACTGCAAAATGCTTAAACTGTAACTTACATAATAAAAGTATCTATTTTAAATTAAGTCTTCACTGCATTGTTACTTTTTATTTATTTATTTATTTTATTTTTTATGCGTATTAGGACACAGGGAAAAAAAGGCTTCTTTTCTCACAGGCCTTAAGAAACCAAGTTCTTCCTTTGTGGTTTCCACTTCAGCCCAGAGAACCAATGGAACCACAGGGACCTTTCTTAAGAATCCATTGCTGTATCCCATCATACCAGACAGTTTTGGTCCAGCATTTAACCTCCCCTTCTGGGAAAAGTGAAGATGGTTGCACAAGTTTCAAAGGGATGAAACTGATTATCTGGATCCTTTACAGTCAGGATTCAGTTTTGGATATGGGAGGGAAAAAACATGGTCACTCCTTTGGATGATCTCTGGCATGGGGGGATGGAGGTTGGGCATCCATTTTTGCCCTACTTGGTGGCTTTCAATAGACCATGGTATTATTCTGGATCAGAATGGGGATGGGCTGCAGGGTGTTGTGCTGGTTCACCTCCTTTCTCCAGATTGGTTCTTCCCACCTACTATGGAGGTGGGTGGAGTTGCCATAGACTACAAGGCTTTCTCCTCTCCTATTTAACATCTATCTTGAGGCTGCTGGGTGAGCTCATCCATTGGGGCGTGGGGGGGCGGGGATCATCAGTATGCTTATTATACCCAACTATACATCTTGCCCCTGGAGAATTAAGCAATGTTGTGAACACTTTATTATAGTGCCTGGAGGTTGTGATGGTCTAGATGGGTGAACAGGCTTCCCGCTAAACCCTGTCAAGACTGAGTGGCATTGGGAGTCTACCGGTACTAGGACCATGCCATTTTTGGTGCTGTATTGGATGCATTCAGACCTGGTATGCAATCTGGGGGCAATCTCCTAGATTTTAAAGTAAGTGAAGATTGTGTTTAGGAAAAACTATGTACAGATTTGTGCTATGCACCACTTGCATCCATTCCTGGATTGCCCAGCTCTGATCACAGAATGTCACATCCATATTGAACTATTCATACCCTTGTCATTTCCAGATTGAACTATTACAATGCTTTCAGTGAATAGTATTGTTAAACAAGTTGTTGAAGAAGCAACAACTGTTTCCGAAGGCAGTGATACAGGCAGTTATGTATGCTCCCCAAAGAATACATATTATACCTCTGCTCTGTGAGCTGCATTGGCTAGCAGTCTGCTTCCAAGTCCAATTTAAGATGCTTGTTTTAACCTTTAAAGTCTTCCTAACATTAGTCTAAGTTATCTGGGGGACCCACCTCTCCCCAATTACATCAGCCTGTCCCATTAGATTTGGCAGAGAAAGTATGCTGCAGGTATCATCAGCTAGAGACCTATATTTGATAGGTCCCAGGAGATGGGCCTTGTTTACTGTAGCACACATCCTATGGGACATTCTTCCTCCCTAAATCAGATTAGCCCCACTCGTTATCATGTCAAAAGTCCTTTAAGACCTAATGATGTCACCAGCCCCCAGGGTCTCAGAGAACTGGAGTCATTCTCAGATGGCTCCACTGTGGTTGCTCTTGTATATTTTAATTTTTATAGTGTTTTCATTTAAAACAATGACTTTATAATTTTTATAGAGACTCTTTTTATACATGTTGTTGTTTTTAATTGACCATTGTATACTGCCAAGAGTCACTTCTGTAAGATGGGTGGGAGTAAACATGTGGTAAAGAAATAAAAATAAAAACTTACAACTGAATTGAGAAGTTCAAATTCACTTTCAGGCAAGAATGAATGCCAGCCATCTTCAATTACTTCAAACATAGGGCGATAAAAGAAAGGATACATGAGTGTGATAGAATCCAAGGTAGACAGTGCCTACAAGAAAGAGAAAATGCACACAGTCTTTTACAATGGGCTACTTGCCTCATACAATAGGCTGCCTTTAAATACTCTATAAAGATTTGGAGAGAGTGAGGGTAATTAGTGAAGAGTAAAATGCCAGTTCCCCAGCCCCATCTTCCACATGAATCTCTACAGAACAGAACCAGAGTTTTGCTGGGTTCTTCTAATTTCTATAAATAACTTTACCTCAATGGAGCTAGCGATGTTCAAAGATTCCTCCATGCCAGGAATGTCAAGCTGGATAATTCGTAGGTCTTTGCATTTGATAATGATGGTCCCCAAGAAGCCGATAAAACTGCAGTGGTATAAAAACATGAATACCAAAGAGTTAAGAATAAAATATGATGGCTTTCGAACTGTAGATACCTACATAGCCTTCAAATGAACAAAAGTTGAAGTTTATCCTATTTCAGCCATTAAAACACTCAAGCACTGCTAGTTGAAAAACATTAATGGGAGAATATGGTAGTATAAATGAGATGCTCCTTAGCTGTTCTGACTTTAAATCAAGGAGAAAGCAAGATGTCAAAAGGTTTCGACTTCATGTTATCTTAGATTGGTGAGAGTTGATCACTTAGGACTTCAGCCATTAAAACACTCAAGCACTGCTTCAGCCATTAAAACACTCAAGCACTGCTAGTTGAAAAATATTAATGGGAGAATATGGTAGTATAAATGAGATGCTCCTTAGCTGTTCTGACTTTAAATCAAGGAGAAAGCAAGATATCAAAAGGTTTCGACTTCATGTTATCTTAGATTGGTAAGAGTTGATCACTTAGGACAGTGGAGCCCAACTTTTATTGAAGGAACCACCGTTATTATGGAGAATCAAACATGCACGATCAGACAGAAAAAGTTTTCATGCTGAGATAATGCTAAATTAGCCTGGACCAGCAGATTAGCATCAGTAGATGGTCAGCTATGGATCTGAGGATTATATTATGTGCTGTCACACACCAACAATTTCTTTCTTTCTCAAATGCAAAGATTTTAAAAACTTTTTCAGAATTTTACACAAATACACCACCCCTCAGTTTCTCAAGAGGGAATGCATCACCTTTCTTCACCCATGTAACAAAGGCAAGTCATGAGGATATAGCTGCAGCAGGATTGCCTTTCCCACTTGCTCCATATGTGAACCTTTTATTATTATTTACTGAATAGGCATCTAGCACTCACTCAGAGGCAGCATACATTTTTATAGCCTGGTTCAAATATCTTTTAACAGTGCAACTGCATAGGCCACACTGAAATGGCAGAAGACTTAGATTTTGATTCCCATGTGGCAATGAAGCAAATTGTGAAATCCAAAACTACACAAAAATTCAGCCAATCCTACCTCACTGGAGTGTTGCTCCAAACTCAAAGAGATGGGAGAAACATATTAAAATCAATTTCCAGATAAGTAATTCTTTATAGCAGAAAATTGCTAGTAAATAATTCCAGTAGAGTTGAAACCTCAAGGCCAATCATGGGAAGATCAGAAGGAATTCATGTAAGCCCCCATCCTTCTTTCCTAAGACATGGTCAAATAAGAAGGGAGGAGGGTTGAAATTTGACATTTTTACTAGCAACTATAATTCAGGTTTCTTTTAGCTCCTTTTAATCGTAATTTTTGTAGGAAAATAATTAACCAACTAAAGGGCTAGGCTTCTTTTTAAAAAAAACATGAATGATGAAGCAAATAGTCAAAACTATAATTTTTCCAATGAAATTGGATAGAGCAGGAGAATGGGGGAAACACTGCTTTTCTTCACAATCTAAGCGAAAAGAAAACAAGAAGAAAAATTTAAATGAATGTCCTGCATGTATATTTGTATGAGAATATTGTAAACCAGAGTTTAAAAAAAAAACACCCAAAAAACAGAAGTTCAGATAGCCATCCAACACTGACACACAGAGATGTCAGTTCATTTCTCCCATACTGCAAGTTTAAAAGGGACAAAGGGTAATCAGAATGCCTTCCAACTATCTTTCAAAAACATATCATAATTAATTTCAGAGTTAACCATAATGACAGCTACTCTAATATAGATGCCATAGCAAACTGTGGCTAAAAGTAATCAGGAGATAAACTGCACATGAATGAGACCAGACAAGGCTACAAATCACATTCCCAATTCTTCTGCGTTATAGCGAAATGTGATAACATTACTTGGCTGCTGTGTCCCTACAGTGACAGAGATCTCTGAAAGAAGCACTTTTTTGTTAAATGGAGATGTGGGTGACAGACATTCTCTGTTGTGGCACCCTGTCACTGGAGTGCTGTCCTTCTGAAATCAGGCTGGTGTCAACACTGTCAGCCATTCTGCATCAGATAAATATACTTAAAAGAGCAATAAAAACCCTGGGTGGGTACCCAGGAATATGATAAAGCAATACTGGTTTGTTCAGTCTTACATATGCTGTTTTATTGAGACCGTCTTATAGGAATAAAAATGCAGGGTTTTATTTTTCTCATTTTTAAAGAAACACTGAGTCACAAATATTTCCAGATTATTCTGCTCTTTATCAGGACAACCTATCTTCATGGAAATATATGGCTAATTATGCCCCCTTCGAGTCTGAATAATGCAAAGCATATTTTTTGAATTGTAGCAACTCACTGGTGCTGCTAAGTCTGTGTTGTTATTCTAATAATTCTTCTTCTTCAAGAAAACTGCATAATATCAGGGCATCAAGGAGAAAGATATGAGAGTACAAAGCAGGTTAATTGTCCCATTTTTAAGCTTGAATATAGCCCCAAATTGCTTGTCTTTTAGTGTTGAAGAAAGCAGTAGAAATAGATCTCAATTTACCACCGGTTGCTTAGCAACTAAAGTTATGGTGGATCCAGAAACCCCCAAAGCTACTTACAATCCGATTTCAAAATTACAACAGCTGCACCCCTTTGCAGTCATATAATTGAATTTCAGGTGTTTGACAACCAGGCTCATCTTTATGACTATTTGCAGCATCCCGCAGTCACATGACCACAAGGTTTGATTATTTTTTGCCGATTTCCAGAGTTTACTTCTGGTTTCCAACAGAAAGTAGCCATTACGTAAAACGGATTAACTTTGATGACCTCAACATTCACTTAACAATAACTGACAAAATATCATAAAGTCAGGTCTGATCACATGGTGATCCACTTAACCACCAGGATATATGGCTAAAATTCCCAGCTCAATTACAATCGTAAGTCGGGAATAGTGTATGAAAAACTGACATGAATAAAATGGCAGTTTCGTGGGTTATATCTTTCTGCAAGCCCTTTAAAATAAAAGCAGTTTTGAAAACTCATTAGTCAATAGCCTCTCCCTTGATTTCTTGGAGCTGGAAAAGGTAAACCTCTCAAAGTCTAAACAACTGAGTTCAATGCTTTTCCCAAAATATGATGCATTCCCTCCTTTAATCTAAAAAAACAAAAACGAACATTTATTTCACAATTATCTGAAACAGCTTTCCCTGATGTGGTACTCTGCAGATGTGTGGGTCCACTATACATGTCATTCCCCCCCCCAAAAAAAAACCCCAACAACCATGGTATTGAGAAATAGCAAGGTAATGCAGCTAAGCTGACTTAATAAAAGATTTGGATGCATTTCTGCAAGATGATTAATCTAGAGCAGTGTTTTCAAACTTGGCAACTAAAAGATATGTGGACTTCAATTCCCAGAATTCCTAGAACATCTTAAAGTAGACAATTTTGAAAACCATTGATTTATACCATTTCTAGAAACTGATTGATGACTCAGCGGAATATTCAGAGACATACACTTGGTAACATCAACAGTGCTAGATTGGGTAATGAAACATCTGCAAGAAAACAAGCGCAGAGAGCACTAAGGACTTCTCATTTCAACTCTGAGCTAAAAAATATTCTCTTTTATTGGTACAGTATATCTGAATATTTCTTAGGTAATAGAGGGAAACAAATATTGAACAAGCTCAATTTACAAGCTTCTTGAAAGCCTTCTGCACAAATCAAGATGCTGGGCCAGAAATCTAACAATTCTCCATTTTAGATTCTAAGAAGTTGCAAAAGCAGAGAACAAGGGAAGAAACTACACTACCTTACAGGTGATGTTTTCAGACAGGATCAATCCAGATGATTCAAACAGAAGACTAAGTCCTCAATAGCTATTTAATGGATGGTCTGAAAACAAAGGATGAAGCCTTTTCTGACTGAAAAATGCAAAGTGTAGGTAAAGCTTCCACTAATGATTTTCAGTTAAGCAGCTTCTATTTAGTGCATTTATTAAAGCTGCAAATAACAAGCTCTGGTGATGTTCCCTCTTATTTCTTCCATAAGGAGGCATGCCTTTTTAAGAAACCGGCTTCTAAAATAGCCATCATTTGAAAACAAAAGTGTTCCTTGTTTCAGGATTTCTCTTTCGGCAGTATGCAAAATTAATTTCATTTAAAATTCTCATAAGAATAAATATTTTAAATGTTTAAAAATAGAAAGTATATATTTTAGATGAATTTTATTTAATAATTCATTTTAAACATCCATACTGTCCCCTTCAACTTAGAAAAAGTATTCAACAATATAAGTCCAAGCCAATGGAAAAATAATGCAATAAAATACATCTAGCCTTCAAATAACAATAAGCTAAGAAGCAGCAAGGTCACAAATTAAATTTATTTTATGCCACTTATATTCCATCTTTCTATTGTGATGAGAACTGAAAACAATAAAGGCAATAAAAGCAATTTAAAAAATGCCTGAATCAACGAGAAGCAAAATCTAGTCCTGAAAAGGCTGTACTGTCAGCACCTGTTAAGCATCCAGAAAGAGCGTATTTCAGAATCAGGCAGCCAGTATAATACAGAATAATCCTCTCCTCATCCTTGGGTATGCAATGTTCCACATCTACTGATAGTATTTAAGAAAAACTTCAAGTGAAGATATGACACATTAATAAATAAAATTAATATTAACAGAACATACATGGTTACCCATCTTACAATGGTACTAGGGGGCTCATGACAAGCAATAAAAGCATAGATAAAACAAACCCACCTTTCCCCTCTCAGCCCACGAGGGAAAGAATGGGAAGATGTATTGTCTCATATTTGGTCCCAACAGGCTAAGGGTCTATGCTCAACAATCCTGAACAGTGCTTGGAAGCTGATGAGGGAATTATACAGGTTGCTTAATAACTGGGGTGCTGGTATAATTATACTAGTACACAGTTGTAACTAACTCTACTTATCTGGAGAAACGGTAAAATACAGTCTGGATACTTCATTTTAATGAAGGAATGGCAAATCATAGCACTCCTCTCTAGCTAGGATTTAGTTATATTTACTATCCTTAATCCAGGCCATTCCTGCATCCAGCACCTGCAAAATTTTACCACGGAAGAGATGTATGTTTTTTTGGACTATATAATTGCTCCTTTCTCTCCCCCACAACTTCATGAGCCAAAATATCCTCACCGTTTTTCAATTGAATCAATGTTGGAATGCAAAAGCCAAAGTTCCTCGACATTGTCCTGCCGTCGCGAAGAGAAGATGAGGTGGTGTCCCGTTAAGCACAGGGTCCCCTCCACTGCTGGATAGAAAGGGCGGTGAAGGACTACATTGTCAGCCCGTGGTGTCTTGATCAACTCAGCAAACTCCATAGTGCCTCTAGATCCAGCACAATTGTCCTTTCAGACAAGCCAATCCCAACCCAATGGCCAGGTGCAATCTCTACTTCTCGACAGCTTCCACAAGCAGTTATAATTCTCAAGATAACAGTACTAGCTGAGAGTTAACCATCCGGCAGAGATCATCATAGCAAGATCCAAATTCTTTCTGGATGGGGGAAGAAAACAACACAGCAACCATAAATCATTCCTAGCTTTCACAAGGGAAGGTATTTAAAAGAACATGAATGCTCATCAAAGAAGGGGCAGGTATGTTAAAGCTTTAGGAAAGGGTCAAACTATGACATAAAAAGCCCCAGGGGCAGAAAAGTTGGGGTAAGACTGGAGAGATGTCACAATCCAAGGAGGCACTGAAGCATGATTCTGGATGTCACAATTGCAGGTTTTTTTCAGCTTGAAGGAAAGAGTCAGGTGTAAAGCGGGTAAGGAGATTCAACCAGTAAGGTAACAAGGAGGACCCTGAAGGACTGTAGAAAAACTTTTCCATGCTATGGTATTTCAAGAAAAACCAACCCAGTTTGCTAGGCTAGAATATTAAACCCTAGAAGCAAATGGGTAGTGTAAGAATCCCATTTCAGGATTACTTTGGGGGGGGGGGAGTAAAGCATTAGAACATTTCAACTACATACAAAAGGAAGTAATGACTTCCTATTCTACTATTCTCAAGAAAAACGGGGTGAGAAGAGGTGTGAGGAAAGGACACCAGCTTCCCTTTCTTAAAGAGAATCACAAGCCATTACAACACTACTCAGTGAATTAGCATCCCACCATCAAATCACGAAGAGGAAGGCGGGACTCCTAGGGGTGGGGAGGATTTTGGGGTGGCTTGAGACCCTTAACTTGCACAGGACAGGCGGGGCTGGTGGGGGGGGGAGCTTAATTAAATACCCACCTTTGGGAGCCAGAGCGAGGCATCCGATCGCAGCGTGCTGGGAAGGGTGGAGAAGCGGCAGAGACTGAAAAGAGGCAGCGGGCGCAGCTAGGGATAACCGGGAAGCTCTTTTTAAAGGAAGCGGTGGGCGAGTTAGGCGAAGGGCTCCTCCTTCCGCGACCCCTCTCCCATCCCAGCGCAGCCTTTTTTTCCGCCCCGCTTCCCGGTCTCCCCGCAGATTCTGCCGACAGGAAACGCTCCCAATCTGTACCCCGGATATGGAGGAAGAGGAGTGGGGGGGAAACAACCACATAGGAACCACACTGGGACTACCACGACGGGAAGGCGGAGCAATCTGTGCCCAGTCCAAACCCCTGGCCCACGTGACAAGCTCCCCTGGCCAATCCGACTCCTCCCGGTGAAAATCCTTTGCCAGCCTGTTCTTTTGCTTTTGCCCTTACCGGAAGCGCCCACTTCGGAAAAGCGCCGACTGGAAACGGGTTCCGAATACTCCCAATGTTATTTGTGGTATTATTTCTTCGACTCGCACAATCCCCGTCAATCTATTTTTTTTTAAATGAATCTATTCTTTTCCGCTTGAAATCATCTACTTCAATATCACGGTCGTCTTCCCACAGCCAACAGCGATGAAAAATATGGCATGAAACATTAGGGCAGGGCAGGGGTCTCCAACCTTGGCAACCTTAAGCCTGGTGGACTTCAACTCCCAGAATTCCCCTGGCTGGAGAATTCTCGGAGTTGAAGTCCACCAGGCTTAAAGTTGCCAAGGCTGGAAACCCCTGTTTTAGACCAAAAACTCCGGGAATATGATTCATGGGACACGAGAAGTCAGTTCCTGAATGAAGAACCTGTTGGGTGGGGCAACATGCGGGCTGGGGCATTCTGTGATTTGAAGTCCACACATCTTCGAATGCCCAAGATCGAGGAACGTTGCATTAGGACTTCCCGATCGGAGCTGCGCAAATTCAGACGAACTGGAACTGTCAAATCTTGTAAAATTGAGAAGGGACAACTGTTCTAGAGCCCCATTCCTGTCTTGAGGGACTTTGAGAGTGGCTCCCTATACCAACAAATTAGTCTCATTGGAGATATATGGGCATGGGGTGTGGTGGACCTGTAGCATCCCAACGGTGATGGACCACAGCCTTCATCCCCTTGGGACTACAGGGCATGAATCTAGAAAGCATGAAGTTAGGGAAGGAGTTGGGTGGCAATCATACATTTAGAATCAGACTCTTACATTGTAGTTTTGGAAGAAATGTCCTTCTGTGTTCGGCTCCAAGTGGGGAAAAAGATACTGGAGACATGGAGGCTGCTTGGAAAGATGGTTTAATGGTGGACAGGACCACATGGCTTGAGTCCTGAACAGAAAAGGTGATCACGTGCCTCAATGTTGGTGGAGAAGAAGAGAAAGAAGGGCTGAGATGCTGAAAGTCCCTGGTTTTATGCCCTCTGTGACCTTTGACCTTGAGCTTGTATTCTGATTGGTTGTCAGATTCCCATGGGCCCATGCAGGGGCAACTCTAGGCTGTGTTTTGAATCTAGGTTTGGTTGAGTTCTCAGATGCCATGTGGGAATTAGTTAAGGGTTAATATGGCTTTATTCCCATCACCCTGTACCTGAAGGG